GAATGAGATAGCGTTAGAATACAGAGATATCTCCCATATCAATTTCATTTCTTGCGAGTTTCGGCACCATAAGTTCCTGTCGACGAGGTGAGGGGAGGGGTGGATTTGATTTCCATATTCATTTTGTGCATCTTAACTGGTCTTAAAGGGTTCAAGTCAGTTAGGAACCACTGTCAATTTACTTTTAACGGTTCGGCAGCTTCTAGTACGCCTATTGAGAAGGTAGTGAGCTTAAAATGTCACAGTACATTATCTGCACCCCGTATTACTAGATTTATTGTTACAGTCTGTTTTACAACATTGTAACCAGTCCCAAAAAGTGTTGTTATCCACGATGTAGACCTGTGTTCCGACTGCAATTTAGTTCCACTACCCGTCCGACTTCGAATAATCAAAACGAAGCTATTTGAGTATGAATATAACATCCTTTGAAAGACTCGTTTATTGATGCATTTCGTCTTTAAATACGTTTCCTTTTTCGTCTCTTTATTTCCACAGCAAGTAATTGGCACAAAGTAAACAAAGACACTTTCGAGAACAGTTCCTCTCAATTTATCTTATATTCTGTTTACATCATTAAATTGTGAAATCCCCAGCATGCGAAGAAGTCGTTTTATCTTTGAAGAACCCAACTGTCCTTAGTCGTCCATTAAATGTACGGCATCCTTATGCATGCCTTGTTTGGATGGATTGACGGCATCCTCGTCTGCAGCATTACACTATTGTTGCCACTCATCTCTTGGGATTCATAAGTCACTCAGCCCTCTCGATACTTGAAAGCCTTGGCCTTTGTAGCCAGAAAATCAAAATAAGGGGTAGCAAAATACGCCAGAAATTTAAGCTCATTTTACTCGACCTTATAGTTGGTCGTTATATGATCTCCCTTGTGGCCGTAACTCTTTCATATTCGCGGCCTTGTTTTTTTTTTCTCTCAATGAATGAGATCTTCTAGCACCAAATGAAACCTTGGAACCACTGATGTCACTTTTCTGATGTGTTTCCAAAGTCTGGGCATGATTTGAAACTAATCTTTGGGCCATAATTCAGTCCTCTTAAGAAAGGAGAAGAATCTGGCCAGCTGATGAATTCAGCAGCCAACTTGCTAGAGTGAACTATAAATTAAAGAACAATCTTCCGTAGGTGTTTAACGTATCTGAATATTACATACATTTGGCTTTATAGTCAGCACGCTGTATTGTTTAGATGGAAAACAAAGTAAATTTTGAAATAATTAAATAAAGATTATAGCCCTTTAATGGAATCGTCCAATATTAAGTTACCATGGAATTATTTTCTTGTATTCGGCTTGTATTCCATTTCATATGTTATTTGAATGGAATAATCCATCAACTGAAGCATTATTCAAAAAACAATCTTGAGTTTTAAACCATGGGTCTCTACAGTCTTTAGACTTACCTGTAATTTTTTTTTTTATTGCTGACTCCGATTTCGAAAGTTTATGTTATCTGATCAGTATCGTGATTCCTCTCATTGTAGTGACCTGAACACATCGTTTTACACTTGTCTGAAGGGGCAGCACTGATCTCTACGTTCCAAAAAAAATCTGGTTGAACCATTGCATGGCTTTTAGGCATTTTGTACAAACTACTAAAGCCATGCGTTGGGTACCTCGGTAACTCCATTGCCATTCTGACATCGAATCGCATGTGAAAACCAGGGTACACCACAGGCGGATCCAGCTTTCAGGAAACGCGGGGCGGGGGGGGGGGGGGATATGATGGTGGGGGTTGAGTGAAGCCGTGACGAAGGCACGCCTTGCCAGGGGTGGGGTCGAATTTTTTTGAAATTTCTGCGATGCTTTTCTCCTGCATTCTAAAGTAATCTGAGAATACATTTAGGAACGTTAGCCTTCCATTTATTATTCGTGAGCCTATTTTATACTACTTTCACAACATTAGTCAGCGGCTGAACGGGGGTTGCCCCCCCCCCCCCCGATCAGCTACTGCCACTGTTATCGTGTTATAACATGAAACCGTACATTATTTATATATTAAACGGAAACATAGATTTCTAAACCTTCTGGGTGCATAAATGAGTTGGAAACTGTCTGGTTGGCAGTGCCTTAGGTTTGTGCATTTAAATTTCCTTGCTTGTTTATATTAAGAAAATATTTTACTCACACAAACAACCTTTGCTTTTTATAACAAGTAATTACAGTTTAGGCGCGCAGTGTCATTTTTCCAGTGGTTGTTAGTGATATTTTTCATTTTTTTTAAATGTCGCTGCCGTTAGGTATTTCTGTCGGATTCAGAAAATCGGCCTTTCTCTGACCAATTTCATTGAACTATGCCTCATCTGTCATGTCTCTCGAGAACGAGCACGATTGTTTAATGTCTTTCCCCCACTAAACAATCACTTCATAAATCTGGACTGGCAAATTCAAATCGATGTATAGTTTCCACGAAGGGAAAATATCTTAGATACGGAACAGTGTTTAATGGATACTTGCCTCCACGCCAGACGGGTTAAGGCCCGCAGGTTGATCAATTTGTCTCCAAATTGTTTGCGACACAAACACGGTATTTCCTCTCGGAACTGGCAAAATCTGTTTCATGTTCTCGAGTCCACTTCATCCTCGTCAAGTGCTTGAGCGATTGTGACTAAACGGTCTCACTAAAGAAGAAGGAAAAACCTCCCGTATAATAATTGGAGCCATTAATTAATTATCCACTCGCTCAAGTACAGCATGTGGGATATGCGCGTCGAAACAAAGGGCAACATTTTTTTTGTACTTTGGCTTTTTCTAATGGATAGGACCATGACTTTCAGTGATGTCTCCCACGAACAGTGGCCGTTCAATTACGGATTGATGATCTCACCTGCTCTAAGTGGAAACTTTAAAGTGACCATTGCGAGTTTTCCAAATATCCTATGATGGGTTGACTAGAAAAGTACGAATTGTCTCTTTTATCTTCCGTAGCTGTATTATTTAATCAAATGATTATGTGATAATGAAGACATTTATAGTGAATTCATATGTGCGTTTTCCCACTTGTTTCACAGTGGTGTTTTCAATTTGGACGAAATGTAGGCTACTGTTCGATGAGTTGCCGGAATAGCGAAAATCGCAAAATTGTGGCAAGAATTACCGCTAACATTGAGTAACATCACAGTGGCCATATTCCTCTTGCAGGCCAGTATACGTCAAAGTCCGAACACCAACATGCATTACGAGGATACCGGAGAATTCGTTTTGACCACTGTAACAAACATCCCAATCTATCACCCGATGGACTTTATGTGAATCGGGTGATATAATGACCGAGGCTTTGCCTTTGCTTTTAAGCCGTGTCCATTGACCCCTAGGTTCCAAGACTAATGACACCCCTATTATTCCATTTCTGGGAGATGCTCGTCTCACAGAATTATACGGTGGAACCGTCCCATCCCCACCTTCTTCCCCAACTTTTTTTTTCACTTTTCAAATTCCCGCTTGTTCAACTCAACCCACAGTGAGTCTGTATAGCACGCTCGCCTTTATTCCATTCAACTACATGTACCATCCTTGGGATGTCTGGATATATTATGATGAAGGAAAAAAATTCTGAGACATATCAAAGCAGCGAATCAGCATCTGAAGCTGCGATTTTCAGGACCCCCCCCCACCCCCACCCCCACCCCGTTGATCCAACCGCACCATATATTTCCCAGCCATTTACCAGCTGTAGTCAGCTTGGTTCAGGTTTGACTGTTTCTAGTCAAATCTGGCTTGAGTTTTTGCAAAGTGCCGTTTGTCAAGTTGGTCTTTGTTTTATACCTTTCGAAAATAATAAAATTAAGGCGATCGAAGCAAAATATAGAAACACATTCTTTATTTTTTTTATTGACAGGCACATGTTACTTTACATACACATAATCCTTTCCATTTCTAAGAAAACTGTTCCAATTGCGTTTTGGCGTGGGTCATTCAGAATGCCGAGGAATTCCTCATTTTTAATTAGAGCGTTAACAAAGCAAATAACATAGCATAGGCCTACACGGGCTTTTGATAACACAAAAGGTTTTGGAAAAGTATTAAACATCGTAGTTTGGTCTTTGCCATCGTAGTTTGGTCTTTGGTCTTTGTGGGTTTTTTTTAAGTTCTCTTCCCAATCAAAATCAGCAGAGTTGAACTATACTCATTTGTTTTGACTTTTGATTCATTTTGTAGCATTTGCTATATTTTAGCAGTTTTTAGTAGTTTTTCTTTCCTTTTAATGATAACCGTTTGTCTAATGATTACGTAGACGTCCATAGTGCAGCTGTGATGTTACCAGTGGTGTTTGCTGGGAGGAGGGGGGGGGGGGAGGGGTATCAAGCAGACTACTCCGTGCTGGAAGGTAACCATTTCTTTTTTTCTAAACACGATATTTGACAAAAGGTGGCGCCCTTGGTTGGGGTTAGTAAACACAGCTGCAAAACACCTATTTATTCATGTTCTATCACCCCCCCCCCGAAAAAAAAACGCCAATGGATGTAACTAAACATCAACGGTTTGGCAAGTGGTAAATTTTGGGTGTGAAAATGCTCTTTGCTTATGCCCCAAGGTTTCCCCATAAAATGAAAATATCAACGTCAAGGGAAATTAATGTGCATTCACTCTCGCTTGAGTCAAGTGACTCATTTGTGGCTGGTTCCAACAGAAGGTTTGGTGGTGCATTAAGTGGACAAACCATTTCACATGTTTGAAATTCTCTCCAAAACGCCGTCACTATAAACCCGCGCTTGGCTTATAGTCATGTATTTCGGGTTAGATTTCAAGTGACAAATGACAAGATTGTGACATGGCGCGTGTTTGTGGTACGTATATACAGACATAAACTGCATTCTCCGGGTTTAGTATATCAAGGCTTCTTCGACTGAAAGGAAGAATAAACAAAACAGCTCTGCAGTATGTTATCGATGAAACCTACATGGCTTATGTACGGTATATATTGTTCCGCTTTACATATTATGAAGCTACCATGTACAGAAATATCCATGTACATTCCTCAATCTTCTATCCAGTCTAGCACTTTTTGTAGCCGTTGATTTTGAGATTCTACAGTTGTTTCTTTCTGTGTACATGTTACAATGTGTCTTGACTGAAGTAAAATATTACTACCTGTGTACGTGCGCTACCAAACAACCTTATTTGCGACGGATTACATAGGCCTACATTTACAAGAAACGCACAAACATTGTACTTTAGGTATCGCATCACTGAACATTTTTAATTAATATTCACATAAGTAGAGGACATGTTTCATTTGGAAGAGCAGTTTGTTAAGCACTGTCCAAAATTAATTATATTTCTTTTATTTCATCCAACCAATACCCCAAAAAATGTTAACTTCATAAAATCAATATTAATTTTGAAGTCCCTTGAAAACCTACACTAAATTTGTTCTCCGAATCTCTATTTAACAATGTACTTGGGAAATGCTTTGTTTATTGCCAATATGTGATTTTCATATAACCTTTAACGTAAAAGCAGTGTTTAGTTACTTTAAATTTATTAGAATGATCACTTGTCCAATCTTTGAGAAAGATTTGTCCTCCGCAAAAGAATCTATACCACGATATTTCAATTTTGGTAAAAGTTCAGACGATAGAGTGTGGTACTGTATACGTAAATGCCACAAAATTTCGAAACACGTTGAGTATATTTCTTTTCTGAGTTAGTAGAAGTTTAATAATCCTTATCTTTTAACGTATATTGGAATAATTTACTACAAATCTGTACATCAAAACACCGGTTAAATATTTTAGCTAGCAGGATACAAGAGACTCCAGAAAAATCAGACTTGTACCAAATTCGGTAGCACTCAGGTCAAAGACCAGGGCAATCTTTCGTTCATAAATATTGTGAAGGGAGAGATTACTACTACTAGTATCCTCCCCCCACCCGCTAGATAGGCCACTAGAAATTCAAATTCTTGTCCCACTCCCTCTATCACTGACGATATTTTACCATTGAATAGTTTCTTTTGCAGAGGAGCCCAAATGCACAGCCACATATTTAGGGTACATTTAAATAACATTAACGCATTATCCTGTCCAGCTTAGAATGTCCTGTCTCCTATACGTGTGTAAATGTTACTAGAGTTATCAGTGGGAAGTCTTTATCTAGCCAAGGGCCTCGACAGGAACGTGGCGCACCGATTCCACGCCTTACGGTCGGAGCTATAACTCGAGCCCCCAACCAGCCTCCGGCAACCTCTGACGCAGGAATTAGGGACCACGTCGCGGATGAATTTGGTACAGCTAAAGCAGTCTAGTGGGCACGCGTTTGAGTCCCGCTTGTCCAGGTAGTGTGAGGATGGAGACAAGATGTCCACGACCCGTTTGGTCATCAGGGCATCGTCGAATTCATCGTCTGTATCGACGTAGGGCATGCCAATGACTGCCTCACAGAAGAGCGCCAAGGCGCATATGCACAGTACAGCTCTCTGTAGAGGGGAAGAAACAACGTGGAAAACAGGAACTAATAAAATTCTGTGCTTGAAAAGGACACTGATTGGAGCGGTATTAGGGCTCCGGAATACATAGGCGCACCGGTGAAATACCCATACAAAATGTGCGCGCTGAGGGGTGTAGAGGATCCTCAGAGGATCACAAGTTCCCCAGTCCCAGTTAAAAATCAAAAGCTATTCAAATGAGCTTTGACAAAGGCGCTCCTCTGTTCTTCCATTGTTTCTTGTGAGTGGACTTGTGACTGGACTTGCGATGAAGTTGTGACTGGACTTGCGATGAACTTGTGCTGGACTGGACTACTTCCCGCTAGCACGAATTAATTTTAATGGTCCCAAACGGTCAAGGGGTTACTTAGAATCTGTATGCCCGTATTTGCCATGCAGCCATCAGGGAGCATGCCCAAAGTCAAGACGCTAAAACAATCAAAATCATTAGCAATGCTGGAAAAAAATCCGTGAAGAGAAACGGGGATCGCTTTAATTTTGTGGAATTTCAATAAAAATAAAAAGAGAGATTCCCTATGGCAGTAATTAATATAAATGGTAAATCCAAAAAAGTTAGGCCGCCTCGGGTCGAATTGCGATTTACTTGTTGATAGTGCGTCGTACAGTGCATAGCGCGCGGCTTGTGTTTATGTTTTAGCGGCCAGATACCATCACGGACGCTATCAGTTCGGTCGCGGTTCAAGCAAATCGCCGGTCGACCAGTGCTGGCCTATAGTTGCTCCAAATTTTTGGATTCGTAAATTTCAGGTTAACCCAGTCAGCAAGTAGTTTGCAGCAGTTTATTCTCTTTTTTTTTCAATATAACAGTGAGCAAAGAAATTAGATGGAGGGGGATTTCAAACGGGACGACCTCCAGAAGAAAGTACTGATGATGCTCATGTTCAAGAATATTATTAATGAAAAAAAACAAGCTCTCAAGTTGAGACTTTACGACTCGTTTATTACCGATTAGGTTTAGAAATGAGTGTAACCAACTGTTTCTCTTCATCTGTCAGTCTCTAATAATAATGGAGCATTTTTCAAATCTGCATTATCAACCACCTTCGTCATTCAGTAAACACGTGGGGATTTATTTTCATTAAGTCCCTGTATGTTTGTTTTTCCTCCCAGTATTTGCTTATAGGCAATAGTGCAGAATCCTTACGCATCTCAAGCTGTTAGAGTACGGTCAATGCACTGTGAGCTGTGATTTCACCCATTCCTCAATGTCTTTTTTTTGTTCATCGGCAAGAAGTGCTTCTAAAATATTTCCATCCTACGCTTACAATTGACTTGAACTTTATGGATAGGAAGAGTGCGGCGTTGAATGCTTCAATGCTATGTTTTGCAGATTCAACCTTGCATACAAACAAACAGTTTTCGATCCAGTCATTAAGGTCATGCCGCCCACGGATCATTATGGTTCTCCCTCCCTTCAAAAAGGGTTATAAATATTTGAGAAAGACAGTCTCAGAAGACTCTCTTTTTAAAATATTGATCTTACCGTGCATTATTTAGTATTCTCCCTCCCAAATCAAAGTCTCAATCTCCGAATTTAGTCAAGAGAACTATTTTACGATGTGTTTAGTTCGCTTCCTGACGATATTTCCCCATATCTATCTTGTATAACCCAAACTGTCCGACAGATTGTCGTCATCAAGCCGGAGCGCAGTGAAATATTCATCACAGGAAAAGCAGCGGATGTGAACAGCCCTAAATAAATCATGAGAAACAATGATTGAAAACGGAGACTTGAGAATTTACCAGGAATATGTTCCATCGATATTTTCCATACATTTCGTATCGTATTCACCTGGTGCAATATGTAAAAGTAGATTGAAAAGGCTCACTTTTCTTCTAGACACGCAAGAGGAAGTAAATAAAAAATGTATACACAAACAAAAGAGAAAAACGAGAAACATTTTCATTTAGGTTGCAAAATCTGAAACCAAAAAGGGAAAAAGATATAGGCCTACTTGTTGTTTCGCCTTTCAATATTTTTTCTAAAGTGGTATTATTTCGAAATGCTCACTTTTCAATAATGTAATTTTTCCACCAATATGGTACTTTGGTGACTTTTTAAATTTGTATTATTATTTCCTTATCCAAATGCCTTAAGGGGTCACAAATTCTGTCATTTAATTAAAAACAAAAGCAGTCACATGTTTAGATATGCAGAGATTGATCTTTGAAATGGGCTTTAATTTGATCGTTAAAGTTTGGTTTGAGAATGCGCAAAAGATTTCAATGTAATATGGCTTGGAGTGTATCTGAGTGCTGGGCTAATGACTATCATATTGCAGCACACAAAAGTGCTTCAAGAAATAACGCCTGTTCAGTACATGGTACCAACTTTAGTTCCATTAGCTTGCTCATAGAAAGAAGAAAATACTGTTCTCTTCTTGGCTCAATTGAAATTACCACAGGGTGTAAAAAGTAGACAGATTCAGGGAAAACACGCAAAACACATATAAGGACAACAGGAGAGCTGAGCTTTGTTTCTGATCCAACACCCCCCCCCCCCAAAAAAAAATTAGCTCTGCTCTACCCACATGATGTATATGTCCCCATTTCTCCGCTTTGAATATGACCTGGAATACAATCTCAAATGCATATATAATGATTCGTTTCATTCCAAAGCTCGCTTTTTAAGTTACGGCAGGACAGAGTATACCATACACATGAAACTCGAGATTGACACAAATACGACTGCGCTCAAACAATGAGCAAGAGGCTCTTTGCTCATTGCCAGAGCTAGATTTCATGTGTGAATATAACTGAGAATGACAGATTCTCAGGTTTCACGACCGATCTCGGGCATGTAATCAATAACCAATGAGATTGGTTATCGAATAGCCTAAAAGTGAAGTATTATTTTCTTTTCTTTTCGGAAGAAGAGATCACTTGAAAATGTCTGAGATGCTCCGCTTGCTCGACACGGTTGAAAGTCGAGGAGTTTATGAAGTGTCACATCTCAATCACATTTGTTGATGAGTGAAAAACGAATTTCAAAAGATTCTTAAACCTACAGTACACCTGTAGGACAAGGTAGCTTGCATGAATCTCCATGGCGAACTATATAGGACTAGTATGTGCTTAGTTTCTTTCCGCATACAAAAGTATCACAAGACAGACTTTGACTATATTCTGATATAAAAACATATCGGGTCGTTATGTTCTATGATTCTCTGAAGCAAATTGCGAGTTATGATCTTTCACACGGCTTTAACTTTAGATTGCATGGTTTGTAAGATATATACATCGCTATTTCTCATAACTTTTTCAATGAAACTTTAAGACACTCACCATATTTGGTATGTCTTCTGACGTGTTCTTGCGAGGAGAAACTAAGAATGTTGTTCACAAGACGTTCTATACTAGCTTCAGTGTCGTCTCGGTGTGTATCTGCGGTGGGAAGCCTCGATTCTCCTGAAGGACAAGACAAATTCAAACTATATCAAGCACTGGTTTTAATCTTGATCTGGTCCCGACGGCAGTCTGACAAAAATAACACAACGAACCACGCGATAGAGCAACATGAACAAACTAAAACGTCAATAAGTGACAGGCCTCCGATAAAAAAATGTGTTGATGATGACAAATTTTGCTAGGAAAGGAAAGGAGTTTCCATATGCATACATCTGTCAGAAAGAGTAGTATAGTGCTTGGTTCAGTGGTATTTAAGCATCTTGTACGGGTGCTAAAGCAGCAACCACAGGTGGTCAGTTTAGCCCAGTGGGATACCCTTCAGTCCAAGACGCATTTTATGAATCAATCTTGGTAATGGCTATACTTCAAGCTGAGTTTGTGATATCACCTACGTCCTTCAAGTGGGAAGGATTTAATAAGTGTCGATTGCTGTGTACAGTTCAGGGACCCCCAAGTTGTAGTCGTTCGATGGATATTAAAGTCCGAGTGCTTCAGACCAGACATTAAACGGAGAAGCAATGCATATATCCTTGGCCTGGGTAAATGAACGATTGTCAGGCTTTTGATTTTAAATTGGTGCATACAGTGAAAAGTGTAGCTGGGTACATGATCTGGTGACATGCTTCCTTCATATTAGGCAACAACCCAAGGCCATTACCTAGGATCATGTCCATTCAGAAATTGAAGGTAATGACGTCACAAACCCAGCAATGGAAATATATACAGCCAATAACACCATCACTACCACGTGAAAGTTGGCTCCGCAGTAAATCCGTCTATAAGCTACCACGTCAGCTTCAGGATCAAGGATTTTTGCAAGGCTCTGAGTTTACCTACCTTCAACTTTATTTGACCCCAATGTGACATTACTGGGGTCAATGAAGGTTAGACTCCACTGCAATGCATACAGTCCTAGAGAGGCAAGTTAACACAAAATCGAGAGCGGCTTCATTCATGGAACTTACCTTAATACTCCCACGTTGCTGCCTGTCATATTTTATTCTGACAAGTTCCAACACAAAGTGACTTGTATGCCTTTATATAAAGTGCCATTATTAACTAGCACTTTTATTGTAAGTGTTCTGTTTGAAATTAATGCAATGGCACTAGGGCAAAAAAACAATTTTTTTTTTCTTTTGCATAATACATTTTATCAACAATTCCGGAACACAAAGTCATAAATTATAGACATATACCTTGGACCCGATGTCAGGTTTTACATCGCGATTCTACGAAAGCTAAATTTAAGTGGTGACACACCTAAAATATTTTTTTCGGAGTTTTAAATATTTTTCTGTGTAGTAATTATCATCAATAATATGTTCAATGAGAAAGTAGTAAATGAATGAAGGCGATTGGTGTTTATTACAAAGCAAACAGTATATTCTTAAATTAATTCTGTTCCAAGATTAAGTATGATTTAACAGTCGTCGGTTTTTTGTTTAATACGTGAAAATTCACTGTATCTTGCTCACGCCCTGTTAGTAGGGTTATTGAGCAAGTATGACCAATAGTTCTAGATGGAAAGTTTGATTTACAGGACAATCGCCCTAGGCGTAATTACAGTTCAATTAATAACCATTTGGAAGCGGGAAAATCAGCGATTCCTTTGTCATTGATGGTAATTTATTGCGATATAGGCCCCATATCTTAGAATCAAACGCGCACATATATTTGCTCCCAACTCACATGTAGTTATAGGCAATTAAGTTAATTCAGTCGGTCAGATACTGTTTAGATAATGGCGCAGGAGTTATTATGATCATTGAGAGTAACCTTGTGCAAAACCGCATGCAATTTAAACTTTACAGCAATCTGCATTAATATAGCTGTTCCGGAAAAGCGTTGGGTAATCTGATGATCTGGCGACTTCACATCTCGGTCAATCACCCAACTAAATCGCTGAGAGTTTGTCAGAAATTCAGGAGGCAATTGCAGCTTCAAACAGAAGTTAATGGGGGAAACAAGCTGATATTTTTAAGCTTGAAAAATTTCCCTGGAAGGTCACAAAGGGGAGGAACACCTGCCCGTTGTGTTAAAACGTACACTCCTTACCTCTAAAAAGGTAGAAAATCGAAAGCATCCATCGTGTCCGAGAAGGGAAAGGGGCAGAAAAAAAGCAACTAACAAGATATAATAAAACCTGTATTGTGAAGGTATGGATTCTTTTGAATTTGAGGTGGAGCGGATTATGTGAGTTTTAGAAATCGCAATACACTTGGGACTGACTCACCAAAAGTACTGAATTGCAATGTAATCTCAAACAATAACAAGTTTGTAACTCTGTTCTTGTTCCGCTAGCAACACTTTATTCAACGCCGCAAACGATTTGGTTTTAATATTGCGACCGTGTATTTTATGTGGCACATCATGTAAACTTAACACTGCAATTTTGCACTGTAACCTTTTTCACGATCTAACTTCTAATACTTGCGGAATATTTTAGTAAAACCCCTGTACTGATATAAGGTATACTTTCACGTCTTCTCGACTAACAAATGTTAATGTAATTTTCGTTTTAGCTGCGTTCAAAACCCTTTTAGGTGCTATAAACCCGTGACGGTAACTCTCAGGTAACACATTCATATATAAAACTTGTATAACGACAAGACATCCTATAGTAAGTCTCACCGTCACCTGTGTATCATTACCGCTTGATAAGTGGCAAGGCGAAAGGAGTGTTATTCGTGTTTGAGATGCGTATATCGATGCTAACGCCCTGCGGCCGACTTGCGACCCCAATACGCAAGGATGTCTTGGAAGTGCGAGCGGTATGTCAAACATACCGCCTCATCTGTACTGTAGGGGTCATTGCCACGGGGCAAGATACTAGATCCGGCCCCAAGCTATAACGATGCGAAGGAGTGATATCACGATCGGCTGTGTTGTCAACTGTGCGACGAAGATCGTTGAACACATGGACAGTCATGAACTCGCAGCACTTGACTGGGAATTGCTGCAGGGAGCACTATGTGTACTACTACGGTGTGGTAAAGATCATTTGCCACGGCGCGTTCGCCATAAGGGCTGCATGCATATTTTTTAAAGACCTTTTTGGTGCAATTTGTTTTTCAAGGCATCTTGTGGGAGAGAGGGGCTAGCCCAGCTGACGAGCACATTCGATGTGATTTACCTGATTCACAAATTGCCTAAGATTCCCATGACTTACAATCAGTTGGCTCTTGTACATCAATAGAGGTACATTAGTTTTGACATTATTCGATACTAATTGGCGCTGTTCACCTAGGTATGCCCTCCCCAATGTATTATAGTCGCATTGTAATTATTGCGGTCCGGGAACTCTCTACAGTAATTGCTTGCGCCTTCTTTTTGTGTTTGCCCTCCTTTTTTCAACGAGTTCGAGCCCCCCCCCCCCGTCCCAATTACCTGTTTTTTAGTAAGTAAATGTCTCTGCTTGGCAAATTCCCGTCTTTTGATAACTGCAGTGCGTTGAGGGAAGGAGGATATTTTGCTAACAAAGGTTATCGAACTCTGAAAATTCATAAATTGTTCTGGATATAACTTATAGGCTGTAAAAAAAAAAATCCAATTTTTCCAAAACCAATGTCTCATTAAGGTTATTATATCTTTTAATTCAAACCATGAACTGTGTTATGATGGATGACCTACCCATCCATCAACATAGTTCTGCCATCATTGCCCAATTTCACTGCCTAATTGTTGCTTCTTCTAATTAGATGGCAGTAAGGGAGGAAGACATATCGCTATCATCGTGAGGGAGAAAAGTCACCATGTATACAGGAAGGAAAGGAACGAGCCGTTTGCCAGATTGGCGCAATTGTGGATCATCCATCAGTGCGCCTTTCTGATGAATCCGTCACTGCCCATTCAGTATGGCCAAAGGAAATTGATGCCCCTTGTAACTTTTTGTCAGCTAGACTGTCGGACCTTAGCTCATCAGGATAGGAGCCGTGTAGCTTGGGTTAATTAGCCGCGCACTGTTGTCTTACCCTTTGCTCCCAACTCTCCCTCTCTCGGAGAAAACTCGGCCCTATACTCTCAGGCAAACACGACGCGTTTCCCCTCATTCCCCCTGGGGTAATATGTTACCATGATTTTCAGAATGTTGTTCCCCCTTTTACCCACACATCGTCTAACACGGAGAACTAACGCGGAGCAGTTGTGTGTAAGTGGCTGATTAATACGTCCATCCATCATGCAAATTGCTTGTTTGGGGGAAATGTAATTTTGGCAATTGATGCATTCGCTACGAAAGATCAACATTGATTCGGGGTACATAAAAAACGAGGGGCGTGGGGTTCGAAATTGAAATTGCAATTTGAGGGGTGATTTAGAGCTATAAGGACTTTGTACGAGGAAGGTATGCGCCATTTGTCGCTCCCAATTCTTACACTGGCCTTAGTGCTGAAGTTAAGTTCAGAGCGTTTGTTCTGGCGTCCTGCAATTTTAACATAATGGAAAAGACGAAGTTCAATTGGAGGTATCTTGCGAGAAAGTAATATATATACATTCAATCAACTTTTCTTATTTTAGACTTAGAAGCACCCACTTCGATCACTTGGTCCCCCCCCTTTTTTCCCGGCAAGCCTTGTAGACATCTGCCAACTGTCCCTTTCGTAAACTCTATGTCGAAGCAATTTTTTTCTCAAATGCAAAACCCTCATACATCAACACCGATCGGACTTGATTGCAAACCTTTTAGCAATTAGTGCCTTAATCGTTCCACTGCCCTAGTGACCTCATTTAAGCCATGGCCTGACCACGCATTTATCCAAGGGTCATTATCATTGACCGTTGGTCTATTTTAACGCAACATATTGAAGCATCGTTGACCTGGTACTTAGTTCTCCTGTAACGGTCATTAGTGGCTGGCTTGTGCATTTTTCCACTTTTGTTGATTGGACGGGTGAATTGGAATGTACACACAAAGACCAAATCAGTATTTTAAACTCTGTTGTAATGACTGATTCCGAATATGAAACTCCAAATATGAGGTTTTTAAGAGAGTTGTAGTCAAT